TGACGAGTGGTGCAAGTCCAAGCCCAGGATCCAACCTGCAAACATGGGCCACTGAAGCAGAGTGCGCTGAACCTAACCACCATGCCACCAGGCTGACTCCTTTAGTCTCTTTTTTTTCCATGACCTTGATAGTCTTAAGGAGTACCAGTCAGGTACTTTGTAGAATGTCCCTTATTTTGATTTGTCTGATGTTTTCTCATGATTGGACTGGATTTGTTGGGTTTTTTGGGGGGAAGACCTCAGAGATGAGGTGCCCTCCTCATCACATCATACCAAGGGTTACTTAATAGCTACATGATGTCACCAACAAAGGTGACCTTGATTGCTTGGGTAAGGCAGTGTTTGCCGTGTTTAAGAGTAGTATCTAGTAAAAATCTCAGTGCATTTAAATCTCAAGACTCTTTCAATGGATATAAAATAAAAACTTTAAGTGAGCAAAAGCATCATGTCATAGTTGATTTGGTACTTTCCCCCTTAGAACAAATGCTCAATGGGGGCAATATTATCCCCAAGGGGGCAAAAACTGGTTGGGGGGGACAAAAAATTCTTAGATATTTCAATGGTTTGTGGCTCTCCAAATTTCACCCTCCCTGACAAAATCTTATTCATGAGTATTTAACTTCTCTCATTAAATTAAATTAAATTGAATTAAGTTAAAATGTTCTCTTGGGGCCGGCCCAGCGGCATAGTGGTTAAGTTTGTGCACTCCACTTCAGCGGCCCAGGGTTTGCAGGTTCGGATCCCTGGTGCAGACCAACGTATCACTCATCAAGCCATGCTGTGGCAGCATCCCATATACAAAGTAGAGGAAGATAAGCACAGATGTTAGCTCAGGGCCAATCTTCCTCACCAAAATTTAAAAAAAAAAAATGTTCTCTTTAGGGGGTGATAATGAAAAAAATGGTTGAGAAAGACTGCCTTAGAGGGTTATAAAATAGGGACACATCTGACAGTGGATGGCTTATAGAGTGATGACAGAAGCAAGGATAGAACACTCAGCATAGCTGGGATGACAGTTTGTGCCTCAGTTTCCCTCCTTATAAAATCAGGATGGTTTACGTAATAGGGTGGTTGTGAGAGTAAATGAGATGATCCATATAAATCCATATAAAGTATTAGCTGTTGTTATCATCATCATCCCCATTTTATAAAAGAAGCAAAGGAAGCTCAGAGAGGGCAAGCCAATTGCTCCAGGGCACACAGCCTTGGAAGTGCCAGAGAGGAGCTCCGAAGCTGCTGAGTTGGCTGGGGGAGAACAGCATTCCCCTGCCGAGTCTGCCTTGTCCCTCCCTGAGGAGTTGATTCTGTCCTGGACGGCCCCACGAGTAGGCTACCCCTGCTGGCAGCCCTCATCCGCCGCACCCGGAAGCGGGTTCTCTCTTGGCACTCCCACCCAATTCCGGAACGCAGCGGGTGTGCTGTGGCTGCAGAACTGGGAACTGGAGAAGGCAGGCGCTGTGCTCTGCTTTGTCCAGCCTCCTCTCACCTGGCAACGCTCGCTTTCTCTCCCTCCTCACTCCCTTGACCCCCTCTTCCCCTCAAAAAAGTCCTCAGGACAATTTGGGCAACAGCAGTCCAAATTAAAACGCACAAGTGTACAAAACTTTGGACCCAGCGTTTCCACTGCTACGGATTCTGGCCACTTGAGAAAGTTGGCCAAGATGTGTGGGCGCGTAGGTGGTCACCCGCTGGGGAGGGCTTCACTCAGCCGCACGACGTGCAGCCTCCGAGGAAGGGGAGGCGGTGCTGTAGCTTCTGCCATGTAAAGAGCTTCAAGACGTTCGCTAAATGAAAGGTGTGGGCAGAAATAAAAGATCATCTCACAGACGTAGATGTTGCCATATACACTTGTGCTGCAAAGAACCGAAACGAAACTGTTCGTCTTTTTGGAAGGCGGTGGGAAATTTCCAATTTTTTTGTTGTTTTCTTTTCTCTTTCTTTTAACCTTTTCTGTACTGTGTGGTTTTCTTACACAGTGCATGTGCATGTATACATGTTTTTAATGTTGGCAGACGATTATGGGAGATTTTAGGTTTCTTCTCTCAGTATTAAAAACCAGTGACACATTTTTTTACTCGACACACAAAAGCAGTCACAACATTCTGATGGGAGAAAAGGTCAGTGACAAAGCAGGTATAGAGTAAGATCCCATTTTTATTTTTAAAATTAGAGATAATAAGAAACTGAAATAAATCAAAATACTAACAGAGATTTTTTTTCTGAGTGGAAGTGATTTCTGCTGTCTTCTTTGGGTTTCTCTGTATTTTTCTGATTACATATTCCACAGTTAATGTTTGTACATCTTTTGTAATCAAACAAAAATAAATAGATGCCCAACTTTGCGAATGTGTTTAATGCCAATGAGTTGTACAATTTCAGGTTGTTACAATGGTAAATTTTATGTTATGTGTATTTTACCACAAAAAGACTAGTGTGAGAAAAGAAAGCAAAGGTGTAACAGACTTTTTCTGCCACGGGATGATAAAGTCTGAATGAGACATGACACACACACACACACACACACACACACACACACACCCCGAACCTGCCTCCAATTCTTGGTCCCCTCAGCCAGGTCAACGATCTAAATGGAAGTCAGAGCGGGGAAGAGAAGCTTTGTTGAGGACACTGGTGGAAATGTGATAGCTGAGGAGACCATGCTGTAAGTTCCTCTCTCCTTTTAGGGGGCAGGGGACAGAATGTTACATTTCACCACCAAGTCTAGCAAGGTAGACTTCAATGGAACCCATGGAGAGCTTTGAGATGTGTTCCCTGCTCTTGGACGGGAATTAACCCAGGCTTGAGAGCACTTAAAGGGGACATCCAGAGGACAAGATATGGGCTGACTGCGTAAATGCAGAGCCAGTGCCTGCAGGTGTGTTGGGACCTGCCTGTGTGAGAGTTTCCTGAGCACCAGATGGGAATCACATGAGACAGACTTGGTGTGGGCCATCCTGGGTATAATCCAACATGGCTAACTGGCAGGGTGCAGAGACCTCAGGAGAAGGAAGCTGGCAGAGCCCTGCTGGCAGCCCAGGGGTTGAGGAAGGTGTTGTGAGCTATCACCAGAAGTAGAGATGCACATTCCAGGATCAAGGGAACTGCAGGGAAGAGGGAGCCTGCTGGAAACTGCTGGAGGGCACATGAAGAGTTAAGGAGTCAGTGAAGATCGTTGGCTTGAAAAGCCTCAAAATGAGTTTATTCGCGAATAGCCAAAAGAATCACAATTCAGGATGTGCATGCTGTGGCAAATCCGTATGCAAATCTGGAATACAAATGAGGGGATCTGCTTTTATAGAGAAAAAGGGGGAGTAGGGAGGGGCTATTCTAAAGGAAAGTCCATTGGGGGAAAGTTGCAGTTCAGGGCAGTAACGGCTTCTCAGTGGCTGAGCTGCGGCATTTCTCATTGGCTGAGCTGCGGCATTTCTCATTGGCTGAGCTGCGGCATTTCTCATTGGCTGAGCTGCGGCATTTCTCATTGGCTGAGCTGTTATGTTTCCCATTGGCTGGGCTGTTGCTGGGTGGGGAGAGAAATCTTCCTTCAGTAGTGAAGTAGTTTTGCTTCCTGTCCAAGATGCAAGCGAACTCTCTTCCTGTTTGGTGTAACTGATGGTGTGATGGGGGTGAGAGCGCCCCCTACAGGCCTTCCTCACTCCAATTTAGTTAAGGTTCTTTTATTAATTTCCACAAGATCAAGAACTGTTCTATTCCCTTACCTCACCTCCCTCCTCCACCCCTCCTTAAACCACTTGGTGGGGGCACAAACAACAGCTGGTAATGGACAAGAGGGGACAGTAGGAGGCCCATGCTGTCCCCCTTCCCTACTGTATCATAGGTCCCAGCTGAGGGAGAGAGGGAACTGTCCTCTCCAAATTAAGTTCTGGACATTACACTTATTGAACTGAGACATTTACTATTTCCACTGTTGATACTACTGTATGTCACATGAAAAAAATGAGAGGAGAGCCATGGGGCCTGACAGCGTTTTCATCCAGGGCCAGAGGAAGATGACCTACCTTGAAAAATATACTGTTTAAAAGGATGGAAGTAAACAAAAATAGAACTGTGCTTGGTTTTGTGTGTTTATGAGGATATTTCTGCTTGTTCAGCAAATTACTCATGATATTGGGGAATAAAAAAACCCAACTCATTGGAGCCCCAAGTGTTATGGCGCCAGTAGATCAGGTTTTTGGGTGCTGTGACACTCAACAACAGGAAGACTCTCAAATACATCATGCTCAGTGAAAGAATTCCAGCTCAAAAGAATACATATGGTATGATTCCATGTATAACAAACTTTTCAAAAAGACTAATCTATAGTGGGAGAAAAAAGATTTGGAGTTGCCTGGGGAGAGGGATGAGGGGATTAACTGAGGTGAACAAGGGAACTTTGGGTGATGGAATGTTCTAGATCTTCATCGTGGAGGTGATTACATAGGTGTGTAAATGTCAACAATACTCATCAAAGAGTACAGTTAAAATGAGTACATTTCACTGTTTATAAATTATAGCTTGGCAAAATCGATTTTAAAAAATTTTCTTAAATACCACTGACATATTTCACACAACGTCATTTACCAAAAGCTGAAAAACTAACGAGTACTGATTAGGCTTACAAAATTAGGGCTAGGTATCCACTGAACTCTCAAAATATGGCAATAAATGAGAACAGGACATCCAAATGTAAACAAAACACTCAAAAAGACGTCAGGTTTTATGAAGTGGGGGCTTACTCAAGCGCGCTTCACAGGTCTAGGGGGCCCAACGACGGAGAACCGGGAGTGGGCGCCAAAGCCGGAAGTGTGGCAGCAGACGGGATGCAAAGATGAGGCCGTGCCTTCCTGCCCGGGATGCAGACGGGATGCACACGGGATGCAACGACGAGGCCTGCCCAAGCCCAGCCCGCAACCCGGAAGTGGGGCCGGCTCCAGCTGCCAAGGGCGCGCGCGCACCGCCTGGCTCGGCCAATCATGACGGAGCGAGGCGGGCGTTCGGGCGGAAATAGCCTTCTCAAACAGGAAGTGTGGCAGTTTACCTACGAACTGCAGGCGCGCGCCATGGCCGCCTACGAGCAGGTGCAAAAGGGGCCCCTGAAGCTGAAGGGCGTCGCAGAGCTCGGCGTGACCAAGCGGTGAGTCCCGAGGGCCCGCCGGGGCTTGTCTCCTGCCCCCTTAAACCTCCTCCCGAGACCGCGGGTTTTCGCCCTCTGACCCGCCGTCATCCCCCCTCCCCTCTCAGGAAAAAGAAAAAGAAGGATAAGGATAAGGCGAAACTTCTGGAAGCGATGGGAACGAGCAAAAAGAACGAGGAGGAGAAACGGCGCGGCCTAGACAAGCGGACCCCGGCCCAGGCGGCCTTCGAGAAGATGCAGGAGAAGCGGGTGAGGCCGGGGCTGGGTCTCCGGGGTGGATGCAAGAGACTTGAAACGGGCTCAGCCCGGGACGCTCGAGGAGGGCGAGCGGTCAGAGGGGACCTCAACTCCGGGAGAAGATGCTGCGTGAGCGGGAGAGGAGGCGCCCACGGCTGGGGGCTCCGAGGACGGGAAGCCCCTCTGGCCGAGGGGTCGGCGCAGGGGAGAGCTGGATCTGGCGTCAAAAGGAGGCCGGAGCTGGAGCCCCGGGTTTGGGTTCCAGCGCTGTCTCTCATTTGCCCAGTGGCCCTGGGCCGGTGACCCATCGTTTCTCTGTGCCTCAGTTTACTCATCTGTAGGGGGCAGGGTAGTGCTCCTCCTGACAGGATGGGAACTTTGGATGCAGTGAGGCAGATAAAGCATTTGGCATTCGGTCTGGCATAAAGTTAGTGCGCAGATGAGGTCAGTCGTTCGTGTTAAGTGGCCACGTTCCCTGCTGTCACTCAGCACAGTGTGTTTCCACCATGCCTTTGTTTCACAGATTCAAACAGGTCGTATCTTGAGGCTCTGAGAAATTATTTCTCTTAATATTAATTACTTAATAAATTTCGGCGGTAGGGATAGGAGAGGTCAGTGTGGGATGGAGAAGCTCAGCCTCAGATGCTGGGGAGAGGGAATAATCAGTCTAGGTCAGTGGTTCTTAACTGGGGGCGGTTCGTCCCCCACCTCCACCTCCAAGAAGACATTGGGCAATGTTTGGAGACTTTTTTGTCACAGCTCAGGGCTTGGGGTGGGGCTGCTATGGCATCTAGTGGGTCAAGGCCAAGGATGCTGCTCAACATCCTACAATGCTGGAGACAGCACCCCCTACAGCAAAGAATGATCTGGTCCAAAATGTCAGTAGCGCCCAGGCTGAGAACCCCTAACCCTGGTCTGGGCGATCTGGTCCAGGAACCTGAGGAAAAGGTAACTTGTTGAGTCATACAAAAAAGTGGGACTCACCGGCTTTGGCAAGACAGAGCTGCTTCCGTTCTGTCTCTGCCTCTTCTTGGTGGTGTAACTCTCGGCACATTGGCTAACCTCCCACACCTCAGTTTCTTGGGGTGAAGGTCCCTACCTCATAGGTTTGTAGTGAGGACTTAACAAGTGAATGCACTTAAGTCCCTTCCTTAAGGTTATAGTCAGAGGCAGGGCTGGAATGTTACTCCTGGAGCAGTGGGGGGTGGCAGAGAGGCTAATGCAAGCATAAGGTAACTAATAACAGTGGCTCAGAGTAGGGTAGTAATAGTGGGAACAGTGGAAGGGGTCAGGTTTGGGATAGATTTTGAAGGAAGAACAGCAGGGTTAGCTGATGGGTTCGGTATGGGCTGGGAAGGAAGAGTCAGGGATGAACAAGACTTTTGGGTGGGTGAGTGAAGGTGCCGTTTACTGAGATGGGAAGAACTGCAGGTAAAGCAGGTTCTGAAGGGAGGGACCAAGGCCTTGGTGTTAGAGAAGTTAAGGTCGAGGTGCCTGTTAGAAAGCCAAGTGGAGAATCCTCATGGACAGTTTGAGATCTGAATCTGCAGTTTGGAGGAGAGGTCTGGGCCCTGGATGAACGTCTTGGAATTGCCATGGGACTGGATGAGATCCTCTGAGGAAGGACAGTGACAGAGAACAGGTCTAGGATCTGACCTCCGGTGACTAGAGGGTGGCAGAGAGGAATTTGCAAAGGAGCACGGGAAGGAGGAACACCAGGAGAGCATATCCTTAGGAGCCAAGTGGAGAAAGTGTTTTAAGGAGGAGGAAGTGACCAGCCATGTCATATGCTGCCAGGAGGCCTCGTGGGTTGAGCACTGAGAGCCCTAGGTTGGTGTTTGGAATGAGGAGGAAGAGAGGCTGTTTAGAGTGGATCCAAGAGAGGGTGGGGAAAAGCAGAGGTGGAGACGAGGAGTAGCAATAACTCTTGGGAGATTTGCTGTCAAGTCGAACAGAGAAACGGGCCTGTAGCTGGAGGGTGGTGGAAGGTCAAAGGGAAATTGTTGTTGTTGGCATTCAAAACTGGAAGTACTGCTGCGGGTTTTGCTTGATCCAGGAGAGAGAGGTGAGGTGTATGGGAGAGGAAGGAGGTGCGGGCAAAGCTAGGTACAATTGGGAAATGCAGATTCCCTCGTGGGAGAGTGTTGAATTGAGTGCAGTGAGCACAAAGGCTGGACAGCTCCTGGCTCCTGGGAGCAGGGCCCAGGGGTTGGGGCCTGGCCTGGTAGAAGGGATCAGGGCTTGGCATCTCCAGCCCCATCACCCACTGTGCACTCTGGTTCTCATTTTCTCTGTGAAGTGGGGATGGTGACAGCACCCAGCACACCCTGTGAGCTTGGTGCATGGAGTGGGGAGAGGGCGGGTAGAGCCCAGGCAGTTCCTTGGCATTGGTGACAGCTGGTCAAGTTGGTGTGGCCCCATGTGAGGAGACCCAGGCCTCCCGTGGGCTCACGGAAGCAGGAAGAGAGGCAGGGATGGACAACGCGGACACTCAGAGGGAGGTTCAGCCAGGTGTGAGCCAGCTGGATATAGAGGGAGATGAGGAGGCAGCAAAGGAGAAGAAGAGAGACAGGGAGGAGCAGCCAGGTGGCAGCTGACAGTATTCTCTCATGCTTCTGTGGTTTGACTGGGCTCAGCTAGGTGCTTCTTCTGCTGGCCTTGCTTAGAATCTGGTGCCATCAGATGGCAGCTGGGGCTGGGGTCCTCTGGAGTGCAACTGGGCTGGAACGTCCAGGATGGCTTTGTCATCACATGTCCAGTGCCTTGGTGCTCCTTCGGTGGCCTCTCTCCCCATCAGTCATCTCTTCCTCCAGGTCCTTTTCAACAAGGTCATCAGACTTCCTGCATGGCAGCTAGCCTCTAAGAGCACAAAGCAAAAGCTGCCGTGTCTCCTTATCACTTCCCCCAGTGTTGGCACTACATTCTGTTAAGTAAACTGAGTCACAGGGCCAGCCCAGAGTCTTGTGCATTGAAGCAGAGGACTACACAAGAGCATGAATACTGGGCAGTGCAGTCCCAGGAGTGGGGAGGGGGCACCAAAGTGAGTTGGCCACAGTCACCCAGCTAGTAAGTGTCAAGCCAGGTGTGGCTCCAGATCTGTCTGCCTCTGCATCCTGCGCTCTTACCTCTTACCAGGGACCATCGGGTGTTGGGAATGAGGAGTGGAGCAGGTCCTGGTGCTGCAAGAGGCGTATTCCAGAATCACACTCATCAAGGACCTCGTAGCCCTCCTGGCACTGTGTCCTGTCACTTGAGCACCTACTCTGCAGCGGGCCCTTTACCTTCCTCCTTCCTCAGCCTTTCTTAAACCCCACCTATGCCTTTCTTTTTCTGCAAACTGGGAATGCGTATAATTGCCCAAGGAAGCAGGAAGCACATGTAGAGCTCCCATCAGTCTGCTTGTGGGTATGTGCTCAGTTGGTGCTGGTTCATTTCCTGCCACTCAGACCAGAGCGCAGCTGACCCGGGCTCCTGGTGGGATATGTTGCGGCCAGGCCTCCCTGTCAGAACAGTCTGAGTGGAGCTGAGGCAGGGGCAAGGTGCACACCCTGAGACCTCTGGCCTTTCTAGGTGTGAGAGCCAGGCTGGCTGGGGCTCCCATCTTCCATCCCGTGTTGGCCTGGGCTGCGTCAGGCATGTGAACTCACCTGTTTCTCTTCTCTCCAGCAAATGGAAAGGATCCTGAAGAAAGCATCCAAAACCCACAAGCAGAGAGTGGAGGTAAGTCATGTGCCCAGTGGGGAGATGGAGCCATCTAGGGCCCCAGAGGCTAGGAGCCTGGCAGAAGAGTCACTGGAGTGTTGGCGGGGAGGAGAGTGTACCCAACAGAAGTGACGGCTACCGGGGGTCACTGAAGGGAGAGCCCAGGGTTCAGGAGTTTCTAAGGCCTGGCAGAGTGGCCTTGAGAGGAGGGGCGCTCTGAGGAGAGACAGGACGTGGAGAAGTGCGGTGGGCAGCACCACACATCCCTGATGCCCTGCGTGGGGCTGTGCTGACGTGGGCTTTCTCCTTTGCTTTCCCAGGACTTCAACAGACACCTGGATACGCTGACGGAGCACTATGACATTCCCAAAGTCAGCTGGACCAAGTAGCCTCCTGGCCCGGGAGGTGGAGTGGCATCAAGGGGAAGCAGAAGGCGAAGTTGGGGTTATGTTTGGTGCCTTTGGTACTTTTTAGAAACATTCTTTTACACACACTTTGCGTCCTCTGTTGAGACAGTGTTTTTCAAAGCAGTGTGCCCTCATTCTAGACCTCAATGAAAGTAAGATTGCCCTTTTACCCCATTTTGGTTTCTCAGTAGAAGATAAACGTTTTCAGTTTGGACTGGAAATTTTTAAGAGTTTACCCAGAGATAAAGGTTATTTCTATGTAAGTGCCGTGGAAAAGCCTTTTTGCCCCTGAGTTGCATGTCACTCTCTCTGACAGCTGGCCAGCTCTCTTTGCCTGGATGAAACTGACTCCATAGGATAAGGAGTTAATGCCAGCAGGCCTGCAATGCAGCCCCTTGTGGGGCCCTGCATTGCCTGCCCTTCCAAGCTCCCTCTAGCTTGGGGCTTATGCTGTTCCATCCAGGGCCTGGGGAAGCCACTGGCAGCTTCGTGGCCTGCAGACTGCCTCCTCAGCCACCTGGCCAGTGAGACAATGCAGCCTGGGAAGCAGAACAACTGTTTAAGGATAGAACACGTGCCTCGTCTCTTTCTGAGCTGAGCTGGTGGCCAGCATGCAGCCTCTTCCCCAGTAACCCGATTTCAGACATGTTTAGTGAGTGTTGCCATGGATATTACTAATCAAGCACAGCATTCTTTGTATTGGAACCCAGACACAGCCTGCCTCACTACCCTCAACCCTGGGCTCCAAGCTGACCCCCCGTATTTATTCAGAGTTGGCACATAACATGGAACCTATTGGGCATTCCTGGCCCAAGGACACCTCAGGGGTGACAGGAGCAGGGCAGAGCCCGGCACAGACAGATGGGTAGGGGTGCAGTCAAATGGGAGGACCCAGGTTCTGGTGCTGGAGAGCGAGGATCTTGGAGGGCCTGCGTGCACCCACCAGCTGAGGATGGAACTGCTTATGCTACTGTGAGAACCGTCTGTGCTGACGCACACAGTGCAAGAGGACCAGTCAGAATAGAAACATCGGGTGTTGGGTCTGGGGCTGTCACAAGTGAACTGCAGAATAAAGCAAAAACCAGTTATGAAATGTAAGTCTGAGTGTCTTACTTATTATAGGCTGTTAGATTATCACTAGACACGCTGCCTTTTAAGGGTTTATCCCACATGAAGAATGTGCATACTGCGAAACGACTCTTCACCCTCAATTTGGAAAAATTTGGATGATGTGTTTCTACTTGTGGTTCGTGGCCCACTTGAGGGAGGTGACATCCTCTCATTAGCAGTGGCTCCTTTGGGCAGATTCCCCCAGCGTGCCCCAGCGTTGGGGTCAGGGCTTTTCTATCCCTGAGCCAGCGGTGCAGGTCTGTGAGCGTGATGTGGTGCTGGAAAAGCCTGTGTCAGTACAGTGGAAGATAGACATCCTAATTCTGCCTAACAAACCACTCCAGAACAGAGTGGCTTACAACAGGAGTTCTCTCTCCCGATTCTGGGGGTTGACAGTGCTCATCTGGGTGGGTCTGCTCCCTGAGGTGTAGCTTAGTACACGTGTGTAGCTGCATTGGCTTCCTTGGGGCCAGAAAGTCCAAGATGGCATCTCATCCCCCAAGACTGCTCTCCACATAGCCTGTTCCACTGGCCAACACAAGTCACGTTGTCAAACCCAGAGTCTCGGAACTACACAAGGGCATGAAGACCAAGAGGTGTGGTTTATTGGGGGCCATCACTGTTACAATCTACCACAGTGGTTCTCAATTTATGCTGTATGTTAGACTCTCCTGAGAGCGTTAGGAACCACTGATGCTGCCTGGGGTGGGGTTCGGTCATTGCGAGTTTTCAGAGCTCTCCAGGTGACCTTAATATGCAGCAAAGTTTGAGAAACCCTGGTCTACCACAACAGGTATGGTCTTTTCTGAGATGTTGCAGAGGTCAAATCTGGCTTATACATTACACATAAATGCCAAGGATGAAATTCAGATGTGACTCGAATTCCCCCACTTATGGAGAAAAGGAAGTTACAAGTAATTTAAGTGTGAAGAGTGTTTACCGTGGTGGTACTCTTGGCACTTGGGAATCTTTGTTTCCTCAAAAGACTTGTACAATGTCTTCCTCCCAGCCTCCTTGACAGAGGCACAGAGCAAGGCTGAAAGGAGATGCTCTGTAATGAGAAGAGTCACCTTTCCTGGGTGGCTTTTCTTTTTGCCTTACAATTTTTGGCATTTACTCACTTTTTCTTCAGTGAGATGTACAGTTTTGTAATTTAAAAAAGACATGTTTTTCTAAAACATTGCAACAAACTGGGCAAAGTATGAGGCTAGGTACAATAGGGTTTCTTACCCAATAATTGTCAAAAAGCCTCCATTGGCTGCTTTGTGCAAGAATGCTTCCAGCCCAGGATTTACTTGGTAGTCTTCAGATATTAGTTTTCTTCTCTGGATTTTCCTGCACTTACATCTATCCTAAGTGGAGGATCTATTGCAAATGCCATCTTTCAGAGCCCCCAAACAGAGATGAGTGAAAGGCAGGCAGCCTGAGTAAATGGTTCTGATACTGCACGGTTGGGATCCCCAAAGCAGTGTGATGGTTTATTGGGACAGAATGCAGACATTTCTCCACAGCCCGAGTGTTCATAACACCAAATGAGATATTCAATTGATTAATGAGAGGTCACGATTTGCATTACCCACCGTGGGCACTAACTACAGAAATGGAACACGTGCTTTTCGCCTAGGTTCAGTGGGGCGAGGTTTTTAGGAGATCATTCCAAGCAATAAACAGGCACGCCTGTTCACTGACGAATGTTGACACTGACAGGTGACAGATAGTGACTGTTGATAAGCCTTGACTGCCATTCAGAGAGTCTGACCTCTTTCCAAGTAACTACCTCCTTACCTCTCCCCATACAGCATTTCGCAATGGTGTCTGTATATGATTGTTTCCTAGACTCCCCCACCAGACTATGAGTTCCATAGGGCTGGGCCCTAGGTGGGTTCCACCACCGGGATCTCTCACCTAATTTGGCCCACAGCGGGGTTTCCAGCTGCCATGGCTTCGGGGCCCAGCCGGGAAGCTGAAGCGTGCCCTGCTTCACTCGGCCCCGCCCGACCTCGTCCCTCTGGACCTTACTTCCGGGATGCTTGAGGCGGAAGCGGGAAATAAGAGCACGTCGAGCGCACTGCGCCTGCGCATACTCCGCCCTGCGCCCGCGCACTCCTGGCCCCTCCTCCCCGACCGGACCTAACGGTCCGCGTGCGGCTCCCCGGACCGGAAGTGGAGGCGAACAGTGGCGGCGCGCGCCCGGCCTTGCTCAACGCCTGGCGGTTGCCGCCGTCGCCGCCGCCCTCGGCCGCTGCCGAGGCTTCCCGCACCGCCATGTCCGCCAGCGCCGTTTACGTGCTGGACCTGAAGGGCAAGGTACGGAGGGCTCCCCACCCTCCCCGTTGCCAGGCAACCGGCGGGGGCCGCGCCCCGTGGGGACCCACCCTGTTGCTTAGGGACGGCCAATGGGACCCAGCCTGGTCTTGGGCAAGGAAGCCAGTCGGCCTCGCCTGAGGGCCGCACCCTGTTGCTAGGTAACCAGGCAGGGTCGTCTGTCCGCACCCTGTTGCTGGGTAACGCGGTGGGCTGCCGCTGTTGCTAGGTAACCGGCTGCACGACACCCCTGCCCCCCGTGGGCTGGGGGCTCCGGTCTTGGTGGGGGCCCCCGGAAGACCGAGGCCGTGGCGAGGGCGGGCTGCAGCCGGCGTCGAAGCTGCGCGACCCTTGGCCCGACGTCGCGAGGCGTGACGAGGACAGTGTGCCCTCGGGCCAGTCCCGCCCTCTCAGGGACGTAGCTTCTGCTTATCTGGCGAGTTCTCTGTGCCGGTCCCTGTAGGTATGTCTTAGCGTTCCTTCGTTGTGACATTGAGTGACAAGGATTAGGTGCGGTAGGTGGTGGCAGCGACACTTTACAGAGGGAGAAAGTGAGGCACAGAGAGGTGACGCAGCGTGCCCAAGGTCACACCGGTCACAGAGAAGTGACAGGTCTAGGAGTCGAACCCAGAATCATTTGTTCATTCAACTGGTGTCTGAGGAGGACCTACTAAATGCCAGGCAGGTCTCTAAGCATTGGGCCCCTTGGGTGAGCAAAATCGGAGTGAGTGCCTGTCCTGGAGCTCACAAACTGGTTGGGGAGATGGACGCTGGTCTCAGCACAGGGGAAGGTAACTCACAGTGGTGGAGCAGTGAGCATATAACAGGGAGAGTCAGCCGCAGCCGGGGTCAGGGAGGCCTTCCTGGAGGGAGTCACAAATCCGGCTGAGATGTGAAGGAGGAGCTGGACATAATTAGGACCCAGGTGCCTTTCCAAGGGGTGTCTAAGAAAGCTTCTGAGAGGAGGGATCTTGACGCCTCTCAGAAGTGGGCTGCCGCCCTTCCCCAAGTCCATCCTGGCTGGAAGCAAGTGAGGATCTGGCCTCTTGCACCTGGGAGCAACAAGTACAGGTTCAACAATGTTCAACGCGTCCCACATCAATCTGGGAGGAGACGTGGGTGTCAGGCCCAGGTGGGGCGGGGAGGAGTTAGCTCAGAAGCAGTGGGGTGTGAGGAGAAGTGGCTGCCCCTTCCTGCCCCACTCCCCACCCCCAGCACTTCCCTGGAGTCCCCTGAGTGGGTTGCCTGCCTTGGATGGCACCCAAAGTCAACATCCAGTGAGGCCCAGTGCTGGGCTTCCTTCCCCCACCTTCTTAGAGGCAAGGAAAGACACAGGGCAGGCCAGGGGCGGGGTGGGTGCAGTGTTCCCTGAGTCCTTGTAGCACGTGTTCTTGCTTCCACCCCAGCCACCGTGTCCTTAGAGGTCCCAAAGGCTGCCTGTCTCCAATCACTCGTTCTTTCAGCAAAGATTTCATGAGCTCCTACGTGCACTGAGCCGCATGCTGACCATCTCGCGGTGACTGTGGAGTCAGGGCTGAGCTCAAAACCCAGCTTTGCTGCTCAGCTGTGTGACCTCAGGCAAGTGCCTGCTCCTCTCTGAGCCTCACTTTCCTCATTAGTCAGAGGAGGC